TGTCACTTCATATTTGTAGTTGTATTCAGAAAAAATATTATAATGGGTAAGGATTGATTAAAGTTTTTAGCTGCCACATAGAGTCTGAAATTTACACCACTTCTTAGCAATTCTATAAGCGGTTGGTGACAATAAATAAATAATTGCCAAACGTCTTGTGTCTAATTATAATACAGCCATAATCCACTAAATAAGGCGGTTGTAACAGCTGGATAATAGCGCCCACTACTATTACTATTCACATCACATCCAACAAATGATTCCTATCTTCTTTTGTCACAAATATACCACAACGTAATACAGTTTCAACATTTTTACAGCTGTTGTTATATTTCTTTTTATGTTTTTTGACTTTTTTAAATTTAATTAAAATGAAGCAGGGAAATAAATTTGCTTTCTATTACTGTGTACTGAATTCATATCAATTTAAAAGTCAAATTATACTCATTAAATTGAAGTAATTTCAATTTTAAACATAAAACAAAGGTTAAGGAAAGTTATGTGTTGAAGATTTAAATATTATAATAATCAGTTATATTTGCTATATGAAAATGCACAAAAATAAACTTCAAATTATTGATTAATTTATTCGAAATAGACATTTATGCAACTGATATGGCATAGATTTGAGTTAATTGTAAGGTTTTTGAAGGAGGAATTTAGCATCAAATATAAAACAGTTCATCGATGCTATTGCTAACTCGCTTAAGGTCAAAGATCATGCTATACCTGATGTCACACACAATTTACAAGTCAACCGTCATCAGAGAGTGAGGAGATAGAAAAACAAGTGAGCGTTGGTTAAAAAGGAAAAGGGTAGAAGATGAAGAACAATTTAAAGCTTTGTCCGTTACTAAAAGTGCAGTGATCGAGCTGACCATTACCTCAGTTAATCGACCTCTGATCTGTCCTGCTGTTCATTTTTGCAAACTTTTTTTTTCCTCACAGATTTCGTCGCAAACTTTCGAAATAAAAGTTAAACCTTTTGAAATTATTTTTGCTTGCTGAATCACCAGCTGTTTGATTGAATGCTAAGTAATGCGTGGCTTTTTTTTTGGAAAAAGGGCAAAGATATTCCTTTGTCGCGGATTTCTTCCGTGGAAGATGTAGGCTCGCTCGTTTAATATGTGCTCCTGATACTTATCCATTCCTTCCATTAATTAAGATTTGATGCGATCAACGTTTACACCTTTTTACCATTCTATTTCATTCGCTAAAATTAATTTAATATAAATTAACCAAGAAATTTTCCCGCCTGCAAAGGATTTCTACAAATCTCTATTGGATCTCTACTGGATATCAGGAATATATCACAACTTGTTAACTTATAAAAGGAACATCTATGCTTAATTTTTTTAACAATATATTGATCCCAGAAATTTCTTCTCTTTTCTGACCTTCCAGAAATTCTTTCTCTCTCTTTCTACTAACCTTTTAATATATTTCTTTTTGGCTTTGATAAATATTTCCATTGCAACAAATTTCATCTTTGTACTTTTGCATTCAATTTTTTTCTTTAAAATTTCACTTTTTTCAACTTTTATAAAATTTCCTAAATGATATGTTTGCATATTGAATGATGGATCAGATAGTAAACGAGAGTGGTCAAGGAATGGCAGACAGAGAGAGAGAGGACTTGACCATAGGAAAAAAAGCACTAAGTGCTGTCCCCTGCTATAATAAATGTACTATGTTGCTGAGCTGACCACCACATCAGCTGACTGATTCGAGAGCAGCCGTCCACTTTTGTGGACGCTTTCTACTCCCTACTCCTCGATCTTCTCTGATCATTGCATAGGGGGAAACCCCGTAGAACAATGTTCGTTGCAAATCACATTGCATTATGCGAATTTGGATTAATTCCATAGCAACGTGGGTAAAACGAAAGAAAGTCTGAGGAGGTGGAGGTGGAGACGAGGATCGTTTTATAAAACTGAGAATTTTGTGAAGTCTATCTTCACGAAAATATTCAATGTTATAATCAGAAAAATTTTGCGAAATTTCTACAGATTCGATACGAAGGCATTTTTTGCAGTAGCTCGCGAAAGCTCGCCTAAGGAATAGATCAGTTGCTTGAAATCAACAAGTTAATGAAAAGTCTTGTCGAAAGCTTCATTACACGATTTCTTCTAAATGGCAAAACTGTCTCTTTTGAATTTATAGAATGTAACATGAATATAAGTCATAATAAATTTGACCTCCTCTGTTGCAACGTCAGTTATGAATTCATGTTTCATCTCTGGGAATTCTTTTCTAGAAATTATATTTCGTTTTTAAGTTCTTCTGATCTCATTGGTAGATCTCAATTGAAATAAAGCGCATACCTTTATGGACCGCTTTTATTTTCCCTCCACGAAAAAGTTGCTTTTGGCATGATAAAATGAGGCAGAAGGAACTGAGAATATTAAAGAGATAGACTGAAGGAAGGTCCCTCTTACGACCTCTGTCCACTCTCTTCTCATTCTCTCTTCATTACAAAAAATGCGACCATCGCTGTCAGGGATGTCGACCATGAGGAGTGAAAGCACGAATAGTCGCTGACCATCTCCCTTATTATATCTCCAGCAGCAAGCTGACCCCCAGAGATGATATTCTTTTTGACCTCAACCTCTACCTTTCCACCACCGCTCTCTTTTTTAAGTCTTATGGCATATTTTATTATTATTTTTCTTGTTTTTTTTTTACTTTTGATTTTCGATCGATTTCAGAAATTTTGTTTCTTTTCATAAATCTTACAGAATTTTCCATTCGAATCGTTTACTAATTAAATTACTTATAAAATTTGGCTATCATCGAAACAATAATTTATGTTTTGGTGGGAAAACGTATTGGGATGTGGAATTTGATGAAATTTGAAAAATAAAATCCTAAAATTATTGTGCAAAATGTTCAGATTCAGATTCCTCAAACAAAATCTCTGATCAATTCCAATCATTTTGTTGGATTCTAATAAATAATAATCTGAAGTACTTGTACTGTTTGTATTTAATTTAATTTAAACCATATAAAAAGTAAACTTTTCAATTGATTTTTCATAAATTAAATAAAAATTTGCTTTTATTGTTTTTGTTAGAATGATTTACCTACCCATAAATGATTTCAAAAGAAAATAAATTGCATTAAATTATTCATTCAGAAATGAGTTTATATTTTTCCGAATTTCAAAGTTATTAAATTTTTTGAAAATACAAATTATGAAGAGGGCTTTTAAGAATTAGAACTAACAATCACCTTCTGATGATGAAATAGGCGATAAGATTCTAAACGATATTTTATCGGGAAAAGAATTATTATTATTATTATTATTATAACTTTTCCGTATAGCAAATCTTTACGTATCAAACAAAAAATACCTAAAATTAATTATTGAATTTATTGAGTCAATGGATGGAAACTTTCACAACATCAATTAAAAATGGCATCGTCGGAACAAACAAATGAAGTGCAGGGACAAATTTTTACCGCAAATCTGTATAATGCGGAAGAAGCAGGAAATGCCCATTTAGAGGTAGGTATCAATAAGTTTTTAAGTCCATTGAGATAATTTTGAAAATATATCATAGCGATTGAAGTTCGGCAATATTTTTAACATAGTAATATGGATGAATTTGCAGGATGCAACAATTATGCACGAGATAGTAATTAATGAATCGAACTCATCGATGGAAGATGAATCTTCTTCTCTTGTTGCAAAATGGCAGAAAATGATTGAGAAAGTAAGAAAGGTAGAAAACAGAGGCGGAAATGCTGTAGAAGTCATATCAAAGAGGGCGTTGATGAAACAAAGAAAAAATGAAGTACAAAGTTCTGCTGGCAGGAAAAATAATACTTATAAGAGTACGATTTTTTAATAATCGCTGCCATTGGAATATATTCAAAATAAATTTTATTACTGCCTAAGTAGGAAGATAGAAGTAGGAGATTACGGTAAGAAGGATAGTTTATAGATATATTTAGATATCCTGCAATATTGTAAAATAAATAAGTTAGGAAACACTAAGTAAATTGAAACATTTTTCAGTAAATGACGAATTTGGTATAGTTACAGTTGAAAATGGATCGATGCGAAATAAGCGGAAGCCAAAATTCATTA